CAATGAGGGAACAAGATACAAGGCAGCGGGAAGTTCGGGGAGGTGTTATAGACCAGAATATCAGTATTTTAATAGATATATGAACAATTATATCATACAGAAACAAGCGCCTACATTTGCTTGACCAGCCACAACATCAGCATAACAGTTACTGCAAAATTATTTACCTCCAACTCTCTTTGCAGAACACCCAATCCCTGTTCCCTGCATCTCCCTCCTGCGTAATCTGTTTTTCTTTTTCTCCTTGTGGCTGGAAATCAGCTCACAGACAATTTGCCGGCTATATATTTATATTTTTATAATTGCAGTCTTGCTTGCGAGAACTCCGGTCTGACGCACGCGGGTTCTCGCGTTATTTCCTTATCACTTCTCGCGTGTGTTTTGTTGTGAAACGTAGTTTGCGGACCAGACAGAGCTGTCGGCGATTCTTCCTATTGTGAAGTCATGCAGTATGAAACCCCCTGTCGCCGATCCATCGTGCAATGTGAACACAGCAGCAACTGAATGCTACCCCAGATAGTCACGCAGTGTGAAACCAACGGCAATCCGACGAGTTTGAAAATCGTGCAGTGTGAACTCGGCATTAATAAATGAAATCATCATTTAAAAACTGCATTTTGTATTTATTTGCATTATCTTTGTGTAATATTAAAATTTGTTTGATGATTTAAGTCTTTTAAGTGTGACAAATATGCAAAAAAAAAATTTAAATAAACAGGAAGGGGGCAAAAACCTTTTCACAGCACTGTATATAGAAATAATGTTTTTTTTATTATATGAACAAAACAGTTGAAACATTCTTCAAAATTTTGTCTTGTGTTCTACAGAAAAAAAGTACATTTTATAGGTTTGGAACAATATAAGGGACATTGAGGACTGCAAATTTTCAGTCATACATTATCTTTGTCCATGCTGCCCTTTGACTTGAATGTTAGCAACATCAGCTTTCTTGAGCTGGAAAGACTGGTTCCATGTTTCTGTTCATTAGATTTACTCTGCTAATTTGCAGAATTTGGTGAGACATGTTCAACATGTCAGACATGTTAGATAGGGCTGCACGATAAATCGCATGCGATATTTAACGCGCATCTTGTCAGTGAGGTGCTTGTGCCTCTCCGTCATTGAGAGGAAACAAATATGCTGCTGCCGTAAGCCTTTGCATGGCAGTAGGCTTATTTTTAGGCATAAATTTATTGTACTTTGCATGAAACAAAACTGTTGCCTTCATTTAGACACAGAACGCCGACGTGTACACCTCAGACAAGAGTTGGTTAGCATGAAACTTCATATGAATTAAATTTTATTCTTGCATTTAGTAGCTTTTAAATTATGTGTGAAATCAAAATTTGTGCTATTTAGTTTAAGAATTAATTGGTTCATCCACAGAAAAAATAGATTGTAATATTTAGTCAAAATCTGAAATTCCCCTCTGAAATTATGTTTCTTCTCGGACCATTCCCCTTCAACCATCAGTCTGCTGCGAGCTGTAGATGGCAAAAAACGGCCTGCCCTCAATTTTTTTTCTAATTAAATTTTTTGAAATACATCTGAAGTATGTGCTGAAGTTAAGCAGGTCTGAACTTCTGGTTCACACAGACTTTAACAACAAACACGAGGAAAACCTTGGAACTGTGCAGCTCTGCTTTATCTTAAATTCACAAAATAATTGTCTCCGATGCACATAATAATGTCATTTATGTGCAATTAAATTTGTTAACCTACTCCTCATTACAGTAAAGCTGAATTTCAGTCAATTTGGTTAGATTCGATTAAACTATCAGATTGTTGTTCTTTTTTTGAGAATGACCATTTTTGCAATTCCTTTTGCTGACACTAAAAACAATATTTTAAAGCTAACAGGTGCATCTGTTCTTTATATTAACATGCATTTAATCATTCATCCATAGCAACATACAAACGAGAGGTCAAATGATCCTTCTGCAGTGGAGGCATCAGTGGCTGTGCTTTGTGTGGTCTTGTACTTGTTTGTTTTGCATATTTTAATGAGCAGCTCTGCCATTTCAGAGGTCCAAGGTCCACAGATTTTCCCTCACTACCCATTATGCTGTCACCACTATTTTGAGAAGTGAAAATGTCTTAATGCACTGACGCACGCACTCTTGAAGGCTCAGTTCAAAGTAATGTGCAGCTGGCGGTGTGACAGTTCCTAAGCAACCAAAACCAAATGTACTCTTCGTGGTACATGGTTTCACTTTACATTTGTGCCAATACAGTGGTTTTTGATTTGTCATACAGTAGTTGAAATCAAAAAGCCGTAATGCATATGGAAATTGAGCTGGTACCCATTTTTGTTAGAAAATCATGATGCTCATTATGGATATTTTTTTATTTTAATTGCAGACGGGGCTGGTTTCCCTCATCTTATTGTCGGGCTTACAATGAGTCCGTGATTGCCAACAGGTGAGACTGCTTTTCCTTTGAATTTGAGAGAAAATCATATGATTTCAGCTGAAACTAACCATGTTTATCTATCCATTAACAAAACAGTAAGACATCAATTTATGTATTTTGTTCAGCAGAGTTGAGAGCCCATTGCGTAGCCAGAGTGTGACTGATCCAGAGCAGCCGGAGGAAGACGAGGAGGTGGAGGAACCCATGTTGCTGCCCCCGCCTGACTACAGTGACTCATCCAGGGACAGACCCATCAAGCCCTCCACCCCCTCTCCACAGAACATGGTAAACGCACTGCACTGGCGAATAGGAAAGCAAAGTTAGTTGGAAAAGCAGCCGTTTTCTGTAAAGAGAGATGGAGAGGAGTATCTGGGCCTCTTATCCTTTTGTGTTTGACATAAAGTAGGCAATTCATTGGTGTATTCTGAGAGGGTGTCCCCTGGTCGGATCAGGTTTCCTTCTAGGGCGAACATGAAACCTCTATTACTGCACAGATGGTACACGTAGAAAATGCATACAGTGCAGTATGAAGATGCATACAACACTGTTGCTTTATAAAATATTTAATTTGGCTGGGGAAAAAAAAAAGTAAAGTTCTAAGAATTTGTCTAAAAAAAATTTGTCAGTATCAGTTTCCACAAAAATATTACAGCACAGCTGTTTTCAACATCGATAAGAAATTTTTCTTGAGCATCAAATTGGCATATTACAAATAACAAATAAATGCAGCCTTAGTGAGCTTCAGAGACTTCCAAAAAAATATATACATTAAAGATTTGTAAAATTAAAAGTAAATATATAAGATTGCACAATTTTTAAGTCACTAATCATAAAAAATAAGTTTGAGACACTCATCATGTAAGCTCTTTGTATAGACGGTGTAGATGTTCTTCCATTGGAGCTCAAGATGCTCTTTAGATGATCTCAAATCATGCTGGAGAACATGATCATCAGGTTTTACACAAACTTTGTTTATGCACCTTGAGAGCTGCTGTCATTAAAGCAAAAGCACTTCAAACAAATACTAAGACATTCTGAAGTTCTTTTTAAATGTCAAATTAAACTTTTATCTCAAATTATTGCTTCTAATGTAATTTGTAACCAATTTCATTCAATTCGAAAATAATGCAAATATGTGTTATGTAATATAAAATTATGTAAAGTATTCTCACTAGTCTCTTTTGGACCCAGCTATATTTCTTCATCTATACATTAGACTTTGAATTTTACTAATTAGATCTACATAAGTGGCAATAACCACAAAAGATACGTTCTAAGACCTGCAATAATGTAACCTTTGTTCTTTGCCAGGGGGCCTAGGGAGGGGTAGATGAATGCTCTGCATTACTATCATTGTGAAAAATAAAAAGACATCTGAAAAATGCTCCCTACCTGGTTTTCACATTGTGAAGGAGAGTGGAGATATTTAGAGCTGTACTATATCAGCTGATGTCAAACTGAATCTGAATATCTGGCTTCCTCTTCTGAATGACCTCAAACCAACGTGTACTGCCTCAGGGCACTGAGATCAAATTGAAAGTGTTTGGCCACAACTAATTCACCTTGAATGTGATCTTGTGATGATGGGCTGGTGACTCTGGTAAAAGTGTGTGGACTGTTGTGGAAGGTCTGATGACCAAAGTCTGTCCTTTGATGAGCATTTTACGGTATAGTTCACCCAAAAATAGGAATTCTGCCATTAACTCAATGTCATGTTATTCCAAACCTGTATGCCTTTACCTTTTGCTGTGGAACACATAAATCTTAATGCAACTTTCTGTAAAACAAGACATCTTGGTTAATTGCCTGCCATTCTGTTCCTTAAACCATGCTATGACTTACAAAATAAGTCATGTGG